CCTCCAAAGCCTTCCACCCTTCAGACCAGGAAACCGAGACACAATGTCATCTGTAAAAAGGCCAACAGAAGATTCTTTGCATGCAGCCTTCACCTCCCCAGCACAGAAACTGGTCTATTAGAATCTTCTAAAACTAAGAGCAATAAAACAACCCATGTACAAATAGAACTAACCAGTTGCAAGTAGAAGAATGATGTTGATATCTGACAGATTGATGCAGTTTAATTCATTTTCAGTAAAAAATAAATAAAGGGATTGGCGATCTGAGTGGTGGCCAGTGGGCTGACTAGGGCCGAGACTCGAGAGGCTTCTTGGGAGAGAAAAACTTGGATGCAAAGTACCAAAACACAGCAACCCTAATTATTCCGGTAAGCATCTGCCCAACAACCTGCTCATCGCTTCTTGGGAGAGAAATTAGGGGCTTTGTATGCAGATGGCTTGAATCTTGCGCCTTCCGTCACTTCGGCAGAATACTTGGAGTAGCAAAACACTTTTTGACGGATAAATCCTAAATTAACCACAAAGAACTCAGATCTAACGTTGATGGAGGTCATGGAAATGGATTTGGGAGTAAAATCTAGTGAAACCCACAAATTGTTTGACTCGTTTGGCTTGAGATTGGAGATGTGGGGGAAGAATCGAAGAATCGGTGGTGGAGAAAAAACTGATGAGTTTGGATAATTTGGGTGAAAAATGAAATGCCCGATGATAGTCAACCAAACCAAATAATTAGTTCGGTTTTGACCACATAACAACTGGAAGACCAATTTAGTTTAACCCGAAAATCCAAAATTAAGTTCGAGTTGGTCGGGTATCAGGTCAACCGACCCAATAAACAGGCCTATTGTGTTGAGTGTGATAATATTATACGGTGTAAGAATTCTTAAACGGTATAATGCACGGTTAAAATATAACTAATGCAAATTTATGATAGAAATAAGAGACCTTGACGAATTGTTGGTCCAACGTTGAAGAAGAAGGAAGTCATAAAGTCAAATGATATTGAAGAGGACTCGGATGAGAATGAGAGGAGGGCTTACGCCGTCTAGGTATGAGGAAAATACGTATTCAATTCAAAAGGTAGAGAACATATTCAATTTACAATTATAATACTTACGAAAAGGGACTAACTTTTTTTTCCTATTTTTTTTATAGGATCATACTAATCTACCACAAATCGAGACCAGAAGCAATGTTGGCTCTAAATTCCAATACCATAATCTACGAACCCTGTAGTTTCCGGCACCAAATATATGAAAAAGATAACAGACACAACTGTGAACCAAATCTAGAAAAAAGACCGAACCACCTGATTCACATAGAAGTATTACAGAATAAAAACGTTATCATCAAACTAAAACTGTTTATCAATGCCCAGTGGCAGAGCTAGAAATATTTTTCAGTGGAGGCACAAGAATAACATATATTAATCAATCAATTTTTTGTCAACTTTATAAGCATGTATATACACATAATTCGCACATGTTTTACATGTAATTTGCACGTGAATTGTACATCACTCATATCAGTTATATACATGTAGGCACAAATTAAGATAACATTCATGATCAAATCGATAAATATAATTGTTAGTAGTTTTATTTTATTCGAACTATAAATGGCTCATAGTAACGTAAAATAATAAAAATTTATGTGACCAACAAAATATAAGATATCTTAAAGATTTGATTAAAAAATACGGGATTAATTTTAAAACATTTTAAAGACTATACAATTTTTAACTGCCACTCGAATGAATGTGATAATCTATGGAATTCGCCTCTTAATCTCATTCAGGGAGCAAAAAAAGCATAAGGTGATTAGAAATCTAAGTGTCCCAGCTATTTTGTCAACATAAAAGGACTGGTTATTTGCTGTGACTAACGAGCTTGCAGTAAGAGGTCTGAAGCCGGCATGACGGTTAGAGTAGGCCGAGTGGATCTACTAAACAATGCTTTCACTCGGCTCGTATTCCAGTTTTCTTTTACCTCCGACAAAAGATTGTCCCACTCCAATATGGACTCCACAAGTAAATGGTTGGGTCGTAACTTCACAAGGATTTCAAATGCTCTCTTCGGCTCATTCAACCCAACAAATTAGGGGCTCTCTTCGATACACGTAGAGACTAAAATCAATAGGAGTGCCAGGAAGCCTACAACTCCAAACCAGATTCTCCAACCCAAAACAATTTGGAACGGCACGATTGCTCCTCCTACCATCGAAAACCAAATGACAAGTAATGCTTCTGCGACGTCAAGGATCAAACCAAGGAATACTAGCGACCTTCTCCCATCTTCCTCATAAGTTCAAATGCCACCCAAAGCCCAAAAGCTGAGGATGGGAAGACGATTGATAAAACCAAAGGAAAAGTGTCTAAAAATGCATAGAACATCCTGCTTTTGGCTTTTCTCTTTTATTGGAGCAACGAGGAGGAAACATTCCTCAAAAATATAGGCATAGCAAAAACAAACCATATATTTTGTTCAAGAGTTTAAAATAAACTCATGTTTTTCATTCAATTATCTATAACAATAAACTAATAAATAAGCTATTCAAAACTATAAAGTAATAGAAAGGCGTACCACTTGAATCATTATCGACACTTGATCACGCTCCCCCTTGGATTGGACATCCGGGAAAAGGCATATTTTAACAGAATTTCGTCACTAAATAGTACGGATCCATGATTATTCATATTATAGGAATCCCCTGTTGCACTCTGTTCAAAAGAAAGGTAAACGAGAAAAAAGTGAAACAAAAGTAAAAAAAGAAATAAAAATGAATAAATTGTAGGAACATTTGTTTAACCCTAATGGTGCACTGTAGTTTATATAAGCACATTCGTATTTATTTTTTATATAATTCATCATCAAGAATAACATTTTTCTAGTCGTTTTGTTTCTTGTAGAGTGGATAATGAAATTTAATTCATACTATTCTACTAAAAAATAAGATATTTATTTTTGACAATAAGAAAATTTATTAATATTTTCTATTGTTACAAAAATTTAAATTCAGAAATAATCAATTGCATTAATAGTATTATAATTTTTTTAAAGATACTAAATTAAAACCAACAAAAAAATTATTTTCCAACCGTAGTTTTAATTTTTCCCCTCTAACTTATGTCCTACCCCAACTATTCATCAACCTATTTTATTTTCCTTCTACTCTTTTATTTTCTATCTATTCAATCCCCACCCACCATCACCACCTTTATTTTCACCTATGTTCATTTCCTTCAAATTCAAATTATTTATAGACAATAAACAAAGTTTCCTATTCAATTCAGATTCTAGTGATAAAAATTAATGTGTTTACGTAAATCAAACATGAGTTACAAATATGTACATCTATAAATTTGTAGAGTACTATTTAAAAATATATTATTTTTTAAAGGATCATATAATATATTTTTATAGTTATAAAAAACAGAAAATAGAAATATAAAATAGAAAAAATTAAATAAAAAGTGAAAAGAGACTATTTTGTTATGTTTACAAATTTTTAAGGGTCATTTTTTATAATTTTTAAAACTATTAAGGTGTTTTTGTAATTAAAACTAACAGAATTCCGTTAATGAGTCCGTATCCAGTGCACCCGAGTGTACCGTATACCCCCCCACCAAACACACGCGCACCACGCGTTCAACTGTTTTTACCTTTACATTAAATGTACACAGAAAGTTGTTTTCATCAATTTCATCCTCACTCATAAATACACACAAACACACAGTCGACGGAAACACTCCATTTTAGGGCAAACCCCCACACACACACAGACGACGGCGAGAAACCCTATGTCCGGCCATCTCAAGCTCTCCTTCATCTATACATGCTTCACTGGTAAGTATATTACTCCGAGATCCTTCTGTGTATCCACTAGATCTGAACTATTTATCCATGGTTTCCTGTGTATGCTATGTGATCGTTATCCATGCCATAATATCCGATTATCCATCATATCATACTTACATTTGTTATCTGTCTATTTCATTCTGGTTATCCACAAGTTGTAGAGTGCTTATCCAGAAGTTGTAAAGTGGTTATCCACAAGTTCTAAACTGGTTATCCATGCTTTTTTTACATTTTATTCTATGTGGCATGGTTTTGTGTTTTTTTTTTTGTTACTTGTTTAGGGTTTAGGGGTGCTTGTCCAAACTTTGATTTCTGGTTATCCACCAATTTTAACTTGGTTATCCGCATGGTTTAAACTGGTTATCCATTGTTTTTTTTAGATGTGCTTTTATGTCGCTTCGTCCGTACATTATTTGCTGGTTATCCACCCATTTCATACTTGTTATCCACAAGTGGTAAACTGATTATCCACAAGTTGTAAACTTGTTATCCATGGTTCTTTTACATTTTATTCTATGTGGCATGGACAAACTGAAATGGTTATCCAAGTTTTCCTGCGTGTGTGGTATTGGGTACTTGTCCAAAATTTGTTTCTGGTTATCCATCCATTTTAACTTGGTTATCCGCGGTGTGTAAACTTGTTGTCCATTGTTTTTTTTCGATGTGTTTTTTATCTGGCTACATGTCCATACATTATTTGCTGGTTATCCACCGATTTCATACTGGTTACTCATTCTTTTATTACTACTCCTTTTCATATCCTGCTATTTTGTCCACTGACTTCTCACTGATTGTGCAATGCCAACAGTGCCCTAAAGGAGGCTAGAACAAAATATAGGCACAAGTGGATCAGCGCAAGTCACGACCTCCAGTGCAACCCAGACAGATTACCGGATCCTAAAGCAGAGAAAATAATGGAGCTCCCTGAAGGAACACTAACCATATATAAAAAAGCAAAAATCAACTTAAGAAGAACAAGAAGAACAGTCCCCTGTACAAACTCCAAGGCCCCAAAACTTGTGGAGAAAACCAAAGAGGAAGAAGAGCACACCGACAGGAAATCCAAAGCAACTTGTGGTTGCTGATGACAACGATGATAAAAAGCCCAAAAAGAAAAGAACGAAACCTGAGAACAACAAACTGATGATTGGTCAAGATCCACGGCCAATCAGTTCTGGAGATTATGTCAAGAAATTTGAGACAAGGATGACACCAAACCATCTCTTCCAACTCATCTCTGAAATCAATAAACCAACAGATCTTACAAAAGAGCCAGATACGGTAGATTATCGCGAACTACAAAGGCAGGCTATCAGAGATATGGGATTTGGCACCTTGTTGGATCTCAAAATCAAAAATATTCCAACAGCCTTGTGTAATTTTCTGGCATGCAATTTCCAAACCGGTGCAAGACAAGTCCCATTGAATGGAAACAATGTACTGGATATCAAACAGGAAGATGTTATTGCAGTACTTGATCTTCCTCGTGGACCCAAACTAGTGGAAGAACTCAAACAGAATGATCCCGCTATAACGGACCACGCTGAGATGGTGGATGCGTTCAAGAAAAGAATGGGATACAGTAATAAATTCCTGCCAACGAGATCCACCGCGGCACAATTAATTGCTGGTCGAAAAGATTTTGGTGATGACTTCAAACGAGATTTCCTCGTCTTCGTTGTGAGCACATTCCTACATGGAAACACCACTTCCAAGATCACAATAAACATCCTGAAGTCCCTCGTGAACATCAATGAAGTGACACAATACAATTAGTGTCAATATGTGATTGATGCACTGGTGAAAGGATGCAAAAGTCACCATGATGGGAAACCATTCACCGGACCAATCACTTTTTTCCTGGTACTTACCATATCCGTAAAAATTTTACTAGTTATCCATATTGCTTGCAATGTTTATCCAATTTGTTTGTACTTGTCTGATGTGATTGTACTTGTCATCCAACTAATTTGTACTGCTTATCCAACCCTCTTTTTTCCCTTTAAATGGTTATCCATTGTGTTCCTGCCGGTTATCCAGCCTATTTGAACTCATTATCCACTTCATTTGAACTCGTTATCCAATCTGTCTAATTTGTACTGCTTGTACTGATATCATTAACACCAACTTTTTTTTTCTTTTTTTTCCTTTTTTTTTTGTTAGTTGTGCTACCTTGACAGGTGTGAGTATGAAAGAGCACATCCGAGGTCATTCCCTGTGATCCAATCTTGGGATCAAAAGATACTGGATGACAGAATAAGACTTCAGGGAAGCAATTTCACAGATGTCCAGACACTTGAACGTCTCAAGAAACCGTCCTCAGCAACATCCCGAGATGAACAACCATAGGCTGAATCACGGGAGGATACACAGGGAAACCCCAACACACAGCAAGTCTATGTACTGTTCTACCATTTTTTTTTTCAGATCAAACTTACGTATCCAACCTAGCATCTCCACATTCCACTAACTATATTCAATTTTGCAGGACCTCGCCGCTCTTTATGAAAAATTCTACCAATTGATTATCACGATGAGCAAAACTGTTTTAGACATTCGTGAGAAGGAAATGGAGTTAAGAATCGAACTAGATGAACAAGAAAAGCAAATAATCAAGATCCTAACAGATGCAATGGTGTCGATGAGTAGAAAGATGCCTCCGCCTTCAGGTACAACGCAACTGGAACAAGAGCAGCAACAACACCAGCAAGACCTCCAGGATGCACAGATTTGTGAATTGTGCGAGATGGCATGGAAGTCCGCTGAAAGCAGATTTGCAACAATCATAGAACAGCTACAACGACAAGTAGCTGACCAACAAGAACAACAGCAACACCAACAAACTGATGACAACACTGTACAAGCTCCAATTAATCTCGCAAAATTTCAAGACATTGAAATTGACAAAGCACAGGGACTGGAGCAATTGAGCCAGACAAATGATGAGGCTTCTATTGCAGTGGGGATATGTGCCTACTTCAAAAGAAGTGGTGGTTGATGAACGACAAACTCAACTACAAGGGGCACAGGGACTGGATCAATTGAGCCAGACAAATGATGAGAATTCTCTTCCAGTGGGGAAATCCGTGCCTACTTCAAAAGAAGTGCTAGTTGATGAACAACAAACTCAACCACAAGGTAATGAAACAAATACTTGTCTGATGTGATTGTACTTGTCATCCAACTAATTTGCATTGCTTATCCAACCCCTTTTTATCACTTTAGATGGTTATGCATTTGTGTTCCTGCTGATTATCCATCCTATTTGAACTGATTATCCAATTCATTTGAACTGGTTATCCAATCTGTCTAATTTGTACTGCTTATCCAACCCCTTTTTATCCCTTTAGATGGTTATGCATTGTGTTCCTGCTGATTATCCATCCTATTTGAACTGATTATCCACTTCCTTTGAATTGGTTATCCAATGTGTCTAATATATATGTACCTTCGTACTGATTATCCAACATTCCAACTTTGTACTGCAGAACATGCAACGAATGTCTCCACGACAGAAAAGAAGAGATCCCATCAAGATTCCACCGGCCGGGATTCAGGTGTGACATCCACCTATACCAAAAGGTCGAGAAGCACTGGTACCAGGAAAAGGAAAGCATTGAAAGACGCAACTATCCCAAGCTTTAACCTGGGTATCTTCTCCAGTCAGGAAGACAGTTACGAGACAACCCAGGAGAAGAACACTCAGGAAGATGTCACAGTAACGGTTGATCTGGATAAAGATGTGAATGAGACTATAGAAGCAGAAGAATATCCAGTACCATCTGCTCTCGACGAAACAAAGAATCCCAGTCCTTCCATCGATGAAATTATAAGAAGGGCCAGTGCACCAGCTTCAGAATCGTTGAGTGATACAGAAAAACTAGAGATCATTGCGGCTGTTGCAGAACAAGTTGAGAAAAACCCAAAGGTGGTTGAAGCAGTCCCTTTAAGCATAATTCCACCCGATTGGAATGTTGCTTCTACCACGGGTGGTCTACTCATGCTGGACAAAAATGAGTGTACCACGCCACCGCCTGCAATCTCAAAGAAAGCTGAAGTACATGATGAAGGGTTAACAAAGACAGTGGAAAAGTAAGTTTGATCCACTGTGAATGCTCACAACAAAATAGAAAGACGAATTTACATACTAATTCTCTTTTGTTTTGTCCTAGGATCCTCAATCAAAAACCTAGGAGGAGAAATCCACCAAGAATCCACCGGTTGCCCGAACGGTTCAGGTCGCCGTTCATGCTGCAGAAGAAAAACAAGAAAAAATTCATACAGTTGACAGAGGAGAAGAAGAAAATGACCTAAGAAGAAGCCCTGTTGATAGAATTCGCTCTCTTGCAGAGACAAGAAGAAATAGTTAAATCAGGGTAAAAGCCACTATCCTTACCCGTGGAATAAAAAACTTACCAGTTTTCCAACTATTTGTCTATTTGACTACTTTTTCTATGCAGGAATTTCTTGTTTCAATTTGGAAAAATTGTTTGGGCAGACAGGACAGCATTCTATTCCATGAGAGAAGGCACATGGATAGAAAACAACATCATAGATGCTTGGGATGTCATCCTAAACAAAGAAGAAGCTAAAAGTGACTCCCCAAGTTGGATATTCTTTGGTGTTTCCGCATTTGTAAGTCAACTAAACCATTATTGTTTATCCACTCCTGGTAAAATACTTGTCACATGTCTGCAAGTTGTTTATCCAAAGGCTTTCCACTAGTTATCCAGCCATAACGGGTGGTTATCCACATTCTGTAAACTAGTTATCCAGCCATTATTGCTGGTTATCCACATTCTGTAAACTAGTTATCCATGCCTTTTTTTTAGTTGTGCTTCTATGCAGCTGCTTGTCCATACATTATTTTGCTGGTTATCCATCATTGTTGTATAACTGACCTACCTATAAGTAATCATCAGGAAGATCATGCATGACCACTAACACTTATTATCCAGTTTGTTACTAATGCTTGTCCATCAGAGTTCAACTAGTTATCCATTCATTCTTGTTTGTCATCTAGGGTACTTTTGGTTGATCTTGTATGTGCTTGATTCCGATCATTGTTTTCTACTGCATTTTCCAACCATTGTACTGATCATTGTATCATTTTCCAACCACCCCAAACAATAATGCAAGATACAATCAGTCGATACAACCAACCGGGCAGTAACAAAGAAGAACTAGAGTTTACATTCTATGAGAGGTTGGCTCTTGAACTAGAAGAACAAGGACTCAGTGTAGGATCCCTGATAGTGGCAAAAGTTGTAAGCAACATCTTTCACCTCCTTCACTCTTTCTATAACTGGCTATTAAAAAATTTTCTTATGATTTCCCCTTTCAATGTGAAAAATCAGATCTACTTCCCAGTACACTACCGAGAGCATTACTTCTTGTATGTGTTACTGGTTCAAGAAAAGAAAGTGCTTGCATTCAACAATCTTCATGCAAAAGATCTGGACTACTACAAGCCAACAAAAGATCTACTTGTGAGTGAAAAAAAAATACAAAATGATTGTCATACTTAAAGAATTATCCATTGCATTTTGCTGATCCTTGGATTTTATGGCATCACAGTTTCGATTCTTCAAAATGTACCTTGAATGCGTGTTTCCACACATAGGACTGGTCACTGTTCAGTACACATTGACAGAGGTTACGCTACCATCACACAACGACAAAAAGCCGAATACAGAAGATTGTGGAATATTCACAATGCACCACATGGAGCAGTATGATGGTGGTGACTACGACGACTGTACTACTTTGGATTTCCACACAGGAAACATCAAAGAGTACCGGTGGAGATACATGTTAAAAATCCTTATGCACCCATCCAACAAAAATAAGGACAAAATCCTCGAAGCAATGCACCAGTTCTACACAAATACTGCTGAAGAAGAACCAAAAGAAATTCCAGATCATGTTGATTTGAGCAGCAAATCTTACTACAATGACAGAAAAATTCAGGGATGGGTTAAATGAATTGTCATTATGTTGTCTTGTATAATTGATTGACTGTTGTAGTCCAGATCATTTTGTAATGGTTATCCAGGATCTTTCTACTAGTTATCTAGCTTCAATATTTCTTTACTGATTATCCAATGCTCTGAATTAATTATCCAGGACTTTTGTACTGGTTATCCAGCCAATGTGTAGCAATATCCAACCGTTTGTAGTGGTTATCCATGATCATTGTACCAGTTATCCATCTTGTTCAACCTGATTATCTGAATGTTTTATAGTGATTATCCAGTCAAAAAAAAATGCAAGTACAGTCTTTAACCTGATTATACATGAGATTATACTTGTTATCCAAAAACTCAATACTGCTTATCCATATGTAACGAATGTTTTATAGTGATTATCCATTCAAAAAAAATGCAAGTACATTCTTTAACCTGATTATCCATGAGATTATACTTGTTATCCAAAACCTCAATATTGCAATCCAAACGGCATATTCATTGGGGGGCTTCACCCCCCATGATAAACTAAACGACTCTCGCGGCTACCAGAATCGCAGGTCACCAACCTGCCCCGGCTGCGCCGCCCCGCCGAACACGCCAATGTAGCTAAGGTAATCCTTTTTTTGTGTGTGTATAAGGAGAGTGTGTTATTGCGTTAAGAGGGGACACAAATTAATTATATACATCCCCCTGTGATAAACTAAACGACCCGGCTGCGCCGGTGCCCGCGGCTGTGCCGGTGCCCGCGGCTGCGCCGCCCACATGCCGAACAAGGCAAATTTCATAAACAGTGTTTAAAAATAAATGAGGGGAAGTTTGCCAAATGATGGAGAACAAAAAATGAATGAGGGGCAGGCCGTCTGACTTAACTAGCGGGCCAAACCCGACCCGGGAACGTAACCCGCTTCAGAATCCCGCCCAAATTCCGGAAAACCTGCCCCATTAGTGTGCACGTTTTCCAAACGGCGGCCAGGCAATCATAATAATTATCCCTTAGAATCCTTCGCTCGAAAACATCATTCAATCATAATTGAGTGTGTTGGATAATGTACCATTCCTTCAACCATTCACCTACTCTCTCCCTTTTTATGGGTATAAAATTCACTTTGTTTTTATTCTTTATGAAAAAATGCTGGTTATCCATAGTGGTTATCCACAGTAAAATTCACTTTGTTTTTATTCTTTGCTCATTATCCAATGCTCTGAATTAATTATCCAGAACTTTTGTATTGGTTATCCAGGAATTTTGTACTGGTTATCCAGCCAGTTATGTAACTCATTTAAGGATAATCAACACTGGTTATCCACTATGTCCATACTGGTTATCCATAGTGTGGAACATGTTACTGTGTATAACTGAAAACCACACGTTATGTAATTAAATAGAATTTAAAAGATTGAGGGAGTATAAATAAAAAAAGAAAACTGAAAATGCTCATGTTTGTGAAGAGTACATCAACCATGATCTAATGGGTAGTTACAGAGCCACACGTTTTTACATGCAATGGATTGAATAAGGAGGATCAGTTACATAACTGTCATTAAATGAGTTTCTTGATTATAACAATGACGGTTAATGAATAGAGAGTGAGAAGACACTGATTTGTGAAAAAAGATAGGACTGGATGGGTAGTTAATCCGTCAAACTACCTCTCTATAAACTATCTCATCTTCACATACAGCATTTCTATACAACTCCCTGACATCTCCACATAGAGCATTTCTATAAAACTCCTTCATCTGCACATACACCAGAACGCCTGATTTGAGCATCCAAAACATCCAACAGCCAGAAAAAAATGAAAGACAAAAAAATTTCCTCAAATTCCACCACCAAACAAATGTCCCCCGGCTATCATGAATATATCCATCACGATATGCTTGATAATATGTTCATTAATCTGTCATTGGAAAAGATTGGACAGTTCCGTCGTGTCAGCAAAGCTTGGGAGGAAATGACGAAAAGACAGGAATTTGTTCTTCAAAAACGTGAGATGAGCTACCCTGCAAGGAATTTGTTTTCACTCAAACAAGCCAAGAAGATCACCTGTTGCAAGACGAACTAATCGCCACCAACATAAAAGTGCAAATGGATCACCCATGCAACCACATACGATTTCAAGAAGAGATGTCGATGGGTGACGACGGCATCCATAAAATCATGCCTATCACAACAGATTTGGTCTGTCTGCAAACTAGCTCTCAAATCAAATTCTTGAACCCAAAGACAACACAACTTGCAACAGTTAAATGGCCATATGATGTCCCTCTCAGCAATTGTGAAACAGCATTTGGGTATGTATCATCCTCAAAAACTTACGTTTTCATGGCCCTTATTGCCGATGGAAAAACCATGCAAGGCTGCATTTTTTCTTTTCAAAGTTGTTCAAGTATTCATAGAGAGGAATGGAAAACACTTTGCAATGTATGTCCTCGCCTTGTATCTGATGGAACCTGGTTTGATAGATTCGTGTACTGGCGTGTAGACAAACTATCCTCTGAAATAGCAACACCTCAAGAGTTGTTGGTTGTGTTTGACTACCACACTCAACAATTCCAAACCATAAACAGCCCTCCATCTCCAACCTTCTTTAACCCTACTTATCCTTCTCATATGAATCTCCAAGTGAAAATATTGGACTTCCAGGGGACTAAGTGTGTAATAGATGAGTACGAGATTACTCAGAATCATCACTGTGAGATGTGGGCATGGGATCCAGATACTTCCACATGGGATTGCATATTTGAGACCCATGAATTCCCAAATGTGAACACACACGTTCCACACGGATTACATTTCCGTCATGATTGGCTTTATCCAGTGTTCTTAAGCCACAAATCATCTCCAGCGGGACAGTTCATTGTCAAAGGATACGATAATCGTCATTTATTGTTGTATAGTGTTCCTATCAGGAAAATCACACACTCAAGTATATCGCCGGATCTAGAAACCAGTTTCATCATTAGAGCATGTTACTTCTGGGAAACATTAACACACTTTTAGGACTTTGTACTGGTTATCTAATGATATTACTGGTTATCCCAAGACTTTGTACTAATTATTCAGATTATCTATGCTGGTTATCCAATGTATTTTGGTTGTCCAAATATTTCTGTAAATTCCCAGACAACAAAAATATTTCTTTGCATCTTTGTTATATTCACTTGCATACACCAAGTCTGAAAATCATCTCATAATTAGTGCCTTCCACAGCAATGGCCTAGCAGCTTTTCCATCTCCCTCATTAGGTATGCTTGACCTGGCACCATAACCTTTTGTCCATCTCATACATATATAATCTTTAGGAAACTCATCAACAGAGGTTACGTGACAGATTCGAAGAATGTGGCAACAAAGCATGCCCGCCTCAGAGTAGTACCTGCACGTGCATGAGAATCTCTGTAACCTAGTGTCATGTACAACCACATGCTTAAAGTGCTCTATCCCAAACCACCAAACATTGTACGTCACAATATTGCCATCATTTGAGACCTCTAACTACTCCTGCCTGCACAACATCCCATCTTTGTGCAACTGCTGAACCTCCCGGAATGCTTTAACTGTGTACACTCTGCGAATGCTCTCCAGGAAAGGGTCACTGGGAAGATATGAATCGATGTTTCCCTGGCTACAACGTAGATCTTCACCCCTCACAGCTACCCGCCAACAGTGTACAACATTAGAAAAAATTCCATGGAAATCACAAAGCGATGATGTGGCCTTCATTTTACGACAAATTGCATTATTTGTTGACTCGCTCCTCTGTGAAGACAAGGTACCACTAGAAAAAAAATCTTTGCTAAATGCAGGGCACCACATATACCTCACATCATAAATACCATTGAGCCATTTGTCATCATGACAATCATACTCATCCAATAATCTGTGCACAACAATATAAAACACATGCATAAAAAGAAAAATAGTTAGATTATCCATATAGTTATCCAGCCAAGAAAGCCTTTCTACTAGTTATCCAGCCATAACGGGTGGTTATCCAGAGATAATTGCTGGTTATCCACAATGTGTAAACTAGTTATCCAGAATGGCTAAACTAGTTATCCAGCCATAGTTGCTGGTTATCCAGAATCTGTAAACTAGTCATCCGATCATTATGGGCGGTTATCCACAATCTGTAAACTACTTATCCATGCCTTTTTTTAGTTGTGCTTCTATAACGTACCTACCACACAACGTACCTACCTATAAGTAATCATCAGGAAGATCATGCATGACCACTAACAAACACATACCCACACAACAAAAAAAATAAGAGACACTCTTAATCATGGAAATGATCAAAATAATAATAAAAATATTGTCAAACTGACCTCCTCCATAATACCTCGAACTCGATTTCTGTTGAAGTGTATTTCATCAGATAATTAAAGTTCTTAACAAAATCTGGCTTGTTCCTTAAATGACCAATTCGCTTTCTTGAATTTTCACCTATGTGCCATACACAGAGACGATGCCAAGAACTTGGAAAACATGTCCGAATACTTGCAGCAATGGAAGGTGCTTGATCTGTCATTATGGTTTGTGGCTGTTTATCTCCCATTGATTTCAAAAAACTGCTTGAACAACCAATCAAAAGAGGGTTCTTTCTCGTTTAACACAAAACCACAACCAAACATGACATTCTTGTTATGATTATCCATACCCACAAACGGAGCACAGATCATCTCATATCTGTTTGTTCGATACGTTGTATCAAACACAACCAAGTCACCAAACAAATTATAATCCTTTCGCATTCTGCCATCCCTCCAGAAGAAAATACACAGCCTACCCTGCTCATCACACTCAAAATCAAAGAAGAAATCTTCTTCAGTTTCCTTCCTGTCCCAAAAAATCTTCATGAGTTGATTACAATCACCACCTTCAAATCCAACACCAGGACGCTCATAATTGTAGGCATCTCTCAAAGTATATTTCATGTTCGGACTTCCCCCGTGTAATTTTGCCACAAACTTAAATGCGTCAACCAAAGGAATGCCACTCCTTGTCATGTC